TTTGATTGCTTCTTTTGAAAGCTTTAAGTGTTTCTCTCCTGAAGCCCAGTTACAGTGTCAATGTCTCCGCAGAATATGTAAATTTTCCCGCTCTATTCTCCCCCTTTTCTTTCTGTAAGAGGGGTAAATATATGAATTATTCTTGCCAAATTCTTTCTGTGACTGTTTTTGAAATTTTTCTAATGGCCTGAGTCTATTAGAAAATGATGGAAAGATCTATTTGTATAGCACCCCATTGATATGTGGCCATATCTCTGTTTATCAGATGACCTATGTGCTGGGTTTTCTTCCCCCAAGTGCAATCTAGTTGAAGCTAATACCATTAAGAAGAAAAGAAAAAGACATTTCACAAGAGTTGTTGTGGATAGGAAGTTGTGTGTGGTGTGATAGAAGTTTGATGGTGTGGGTGGAAGTGTTTGAAGTTTTTTCTTCCTGGAATACTGGTGTGATAGAGGTGTCAAGTCCTGATAACGCTGGAAACTGCAAAAGTGAATTCAAGTTTCGGCCTCTGTTCTAGTTGATTGTAACATCCTTACTGTCATCCCAGATTAATTTCTTTCTTTCTTCATTCTGCTTCCAGACAGTTTTGCCAACAACTTAAATTTCATACCTTTTAGCGAGGGTGTCAATTTTGTTCAGATAGCTGCAAAGTGTGTATGAAAAATACCCATTCTCCTCTTAAATTAAATTTGCAGTGTCAAATTATTTTTCTTAATTGGTGCTATCCTTTAGTTGCAGTTTATTTTTGAATGTAGGAAGAAACAAAATCTGTTTTTATGCCTTGAAAAGTGCTTTGTATTTGTCAAATGTTCTTTGTCACATTTTTGCTCTGTTGAACGTTCTATGTGTATCACTCCTCTGTTTACTGCATCTTCGAAAGCACTTCCTCAATTCTCAGTCTATGTTGACCTTACTTCTCAAAATATTTGCTAGTGTTGTTTGGAGGAAGTAGTTCCTAAGCATGTGGAATCAGTTTATTTCTGGGCAGTTTGAGGTTTTGTTGCCTTTGGGAAACACAAAAAGTATAGAGAGTATAGAATATAAAGCTTCCAGCTCCTGGATATAAATCAACTGTTCATAAAATCACTGTGAATATCAACAGGCCAAGCTGGAAAGTTATGACTAAAAGGTGTATTTATGTGGTCTTTACTCATGATACTTTTTACTCTTTTCTATACTTTTTACTCTATACATTTACTCTTTTCTATATTTGTGTAGAAAACCCTTTTTAGAAACCAGTACTGCTTTACTTTTGCCTTGATGGCACAGAGCAGTTTCTAAGGGAGATGGGTAAATGTCTCATAGAGATGTCTACAGACAGGCCCTAATCTGGCATACTGGGTGTGACTGTGTTTTATGCCAGGGAAGAAAAATGCAACCAAAAAACTTGGGAAAATATTTCTATGTGTGTCAAGAATCTGTTTTAAATCTCACCAGTCACTTTTTCTTCTTTAGGCCCGTGTTGCTTGACTATGTGATGTTAAAGGGACTTGTGTATTTTTCTATTTGCCAATATTAAGTTCCTAACCCACTTTTTGGGTGTGTATAAAATATGTATATAATTGGGTAATACATAAACTTTTCCTGTGACAATAACAAAAATCAGCTATGATAACAAATAAATTCCCTTGCCGGGGGGAAGTCTGCTTCCATCAAAGGACAGCTCCTAAGCTATGTTATGTAATGAAGCACATGTATGGACATTAACAGGTAATAATGTATTTTGAACCATACTGATAAAATCAAATATTATGGTGAATTTTAAAGGTTATCAACAGAATGTGTTTAATATATACATGAATTCTCCTGATATTGCACATCCTGAAGCAACCGGTCATTAAATTCTCCATAAGGTTGTTTGTCTTTCTGCATAGCAAACACACGTGAAAAGCTACAAATGTCATCACCCAGCACTTTGCTTGAATGTGCATATTCTGCACATGCCTGCAGAGTGCCCACTAATTCTGGTAGAAAATGCTAAATTGATTATAATTAGTGAAAATGGCTTCTTCTGTCAATTGCAGGGAAGATTAACTTCTTTTTGGAAAATTTTATTAAAGTTCTGCACAATTTTATTGTGTGATTTACTTAATTATACAACACAATAAGGTAATTGCATGTCATAATGATGTGATTATGTGTATTTGCTCAAAATGTACAATTAGATGCAATTACATTCTAAGAAAATGGAAAAAATTTAAGGGCTAAGCCACTGAAACATTTACTCTGGCTTGTCAAACTGGGAGCTCAGCGATGTCAGTGGCTCTGATTCAATGTGCTCCTCACTGCTATGAATTAGCATGGAAATATAGTTGGAGGAAAAAAGCAACCAAGAAAACAACAAAAAAATCCCATTTACAAGGATATTTCAGAGGGCATGATTTGATTGTTTCATTATCTATGTGTGAAATTTTAGGCACAGTTTGAACAAGTCTCATCTTGCCCATGAAGAAAAAAATAGCACGTTGTACTCATGGTTTTGGGAACATCATGCAGAGCGCCTTCAGCCACTGGACATTTGAGAAAAACATCTAGTATTAAGCAGTTTGTGTTAAAGTTGCTAGGAATGGCTACTCAGTAGCTGTGCTGATAAATCGTACAAGGGGAACCTGTTTTATTTTCTCATGTAATCACAGGTGCCTAGTCCCGTTCAGTTTTCTTACTGCATTTTTCTCCCTTTGTGACAGCAGCTCCCAAGATTGAGCTCTGGGATTAATAAAATGGAATTCACATTGTTGTACATCAACCTGAATCTCTTCTAACCACTCTCATTTTGCCAATATGCTTTAACCCTATGACAGAAGGACCCACTGTATTTGCTGGATGGCAGCTATTTTATCCTGCTTTTCCTGCAAAGGTATCATTAGTGCAGTGAAATGTAGGGATGTTTAGTGCTTTTAAAAACAGCATGTGTCCCAGTTATAGCAGAAGTTGAGGAAGAGTTTGTTGTGTACTTCTATTTCATGCACTTTAGCTGCAACTGCTTTATTTGAGAATTCTATATATAATTAAAACCTGCATTTAATGTGTTTTATTCTTTCAAGTTGATAGGCTTTCTAACTGCAAATATTGTTCTTTGACTTTGTCTAATCTAAACAGGTCTCTTATCCTCAGGAAATTATTCCCTCTTTGTTATCTCTTCTTTGTCATGATCTTTGCTCCTCCCTGTGCTCCAGTATTACTTTAAGAGGGACTTCCATCAATGTATCGCTCTCTCCATTTTCTTCCTAGGGACATGCCTCTTTTCTCCTGGGCAAAAACTGATTTTTTTGTGGGCCTGTTCCTGTTTCCAGACAATAGGCCTGGAGCAGGCAAGATACCATTCCCTGGAATAGAAAATTCATTCTAATTAATCCTAACTAACACACAACGTTAAAACCACTTGCTGGTTCTAGTTACAATTCTGCACATAATCAAACAAATCAAACAAACTGTTCATAATCCCACTGTTATCAGAACAGTTATCTATTATTATGAATTAAATAGTATAAAAATTATTCTGTAAAAGAAAAAACTTTCATTGTTTTTAAAAAACCACACTTGTTCATTTAATTATTTTCTAGATTTGTTTTCACTGTGTTTGTCTAGTGCTAGTGGCTTTACAGTTAAATACTATATTCCACAATTACATCTTCATTTTCTGCTTTCAAAAGAACAGAAGCTGCTTTTCAAATCAACAGGACGCTAGACTGAAGGAAGAATTGAACCCCACATATGGAAAATTTCTGCCCTACTGCCTTCATAAATAGAAGGCTCAGCTACATATTCTTCCTTTTGCTCCCATGGTGAACACAACAATGATTGTATCAAACAGATCATCAAGAGTTTTGAGCTGATGGATGTTCAAAACTTCAGCTGTTCAAAGCCCACCGAAACTTCCTAGATATGTTAGAGCAGGAAACCTGAACACAATGTAACAGACATTAAAAAGGTTTTTCAAGCCAATTTTTATTTGATTTCAGCAAGAAGACTGTTAAAAATACGCTAGAAGATGCCAGATGTGTTCTGGTAACAAATATGCTATATTTTATTAGTATTGTGGAGTCCCAGAAAAATGGATTTCAACTGTTGTCAACTGAAGTAAGGAGGAACTTGAAAACATAAGTGACACTTAATAAAATACTAGATGGATGAGGTGGGCAATTATGTCTCTAAAATGGAAAAAAAAATTCTGAAGAATATGTCCTGGTGTTGCATTAAAGTAGAGGTGCTGGGAAATATCTGAACTTTGCTTTTAATACAAATTGAGTTTGTACAAACTGAACATGTGTTGCTGTTGATGACTCAGACTTGTATGTATGCTCAGTGTATTGATAAAGGAATTGTCTCTGTCATAACATAGGAAAAGGCATGATTTAACCCAAAAGAAACTAGAATGCATGCTTACTAAAAAGTTCCAGCTAGTGGAACAATTTAGGGTTCTCTGATGAACAATTTTATGCATTTACTGAAGTTTAATTTTTAATATACTTCTGTAATTTCACAAAATAAAGAAGTTTGCACGGAATTGCACTGCAAAGTTTGGGATTGAGGGTTTGGGATGAGCATGGCCACGGTGTGGGAGGTGGCTTTGGTATGGCCAGGTGTGGCCAGTTGTCACAGAGCCTGGGGTGCCAGTGTTTTAGTGGGACAGAGGTGCCCCAGAGAGGAGCAGACCCTCACAGGGGAAGAGTAGGAGAGGCAGAAAGCCTGTATTTTCATATATATATTTCCTGTATGTATTTTTATATATTTTGCCTGGAGAAGGAATAGAGCACGTCCAGCACTTCTGAGACAGGGGGACTCCTTTCACCTTGCCTTTTGGTTTATAAATATTTTACTCCATGCCATGTACTCTCTGAGGAACTGTTTTTACCTTGTTTCCAACTCCTTTAGTTTCTTCACACAAACTGACCAACTGTGTTCTTATTGTTTCAAGTACAGACAAAATAAGGTCTTTAGAACATTGTCAGGATGGTCCCGCCTTGCTCTTTCAGAATAAGTCACAGGCTGGGAATGTTTCCAGCAATAGAGGGAAAGTGGAGCTATTCATAGCCAAGCACATCTCCATTTCAGAAGGATTGGAAGATGAAACAGTTCCTGGTTTCCTTTCCTTTTCAGTGTTCTTCAAAGAACTTGGGAGACTGTGATTTCCTGAGCTTCTAAATTTGCAACAAAGAAATCTACAGTGTGTTTAAAGGTATCTTTTCATCTCTCACAATTATTGCTGTTATTTTTAAAAATCTACGCTTTTCTGCTGATCTGAGAAACTAACTCAGCTGTGTGAGGTATATCTCTGTCTCAGAAAACATGTCACACTCCCTGCCAGTTCTGAGTTCAATGGCTAAGAGGGAGGAGGACCTTCTTGGTGAATGGCTGAATTTGGGCTTGTGAATTTGGGATTTTGGATGCCCTCCTTGAGCTATCTCAGATTTTATTTTTTACAGATGTTACAGTGGCCCCTGAACCCAACAACCTGGAAGGGCAATTAGATACTCAGATGTCAGGATTATTATTAGATACTGATCTGTACAGAAACAAAATAATTAATCATTGAGAATTTTGACCTTATATGTAGTGAAAAGGAAAATAAAATTTTGAAAAGTTCTTCTTAAAACTGTTAGATTTAGGGATTCCAGATGGTCCTATAATGATTTATATGAAATAGATACTCATTCATTACTTTTTTTTTGCATTACAGAAACAAGAGCAGTGGAAATTACAGTGAAATTTATTCTAGTGCTGTCATAGTATTGAGAATTGTGTTTATTTCATCTTGTAAATGGCTTCATTCTGCACTTGTTTAGATTACACAGGTATAATATGCAAGGAAAAAAGGACAGGATTGTTGCATTATTTTAAAACACTACTTGCCTTTTTTTTCTCTGAGAGGTTGTAATGTACTTTTAAATAATCTATGCACAGTTACTGTGGGCCAATCAAAAAATGTTGTGCTGTCCTGCTAAGTCCTTAGACAACAAGATTCAGGCATGTTAAAATCTAAATCAAAGGTTAATCCATACTTGGTTATTTGGTAGAGCTAAAACATAGTAATTCATTTTTTTAATGGGTTAAACATGCTGAATATAGTAACTAATATATTACTGAAATTTGGGGTTTATTCTCCATTAGCTCTGACAACAGAGGGACCAGTACAAGTGGTACAAGAGGTGCTGGATGTTTTCTGTGGATTCTGGCTTGTGCCATAAACATTTAATGTGGCTCATTAGCACAAAGCTTGGCACTAATAATGGTGGGGTGAACCACATTTGTGAAATACACTTACAGGAATATATTAACAACTTTGTGTCAGTTCTCACTTCCATTTTCCAGTAGCAAATCCATGTTTGTGTTAGATGCTTGTCTATAGGTGGCAGCAGCTCCAACTCTTTATAGGCTGCAATTAAGGCCAGAAAGTTATGCAAGGAAAGTTTGGTAGTTTATGCATGTTCTGATGTCACTGCACATCCCTTGGAGAGGCATACAGCAAAGAGGCAGGGAAGATACATGGCAATGGAATTATCTTTCAAATAACTGGAAGGCTTTTCCCTTCTGAACCCAAAGGTAAAACAGCCTTCATGATTTTTGATTAACATCAGTTGATAGGAACATTTAAGTGTCTATTTATAACTTATATTCACAGTTGTGCTTGGAGCTAAATGGCAAAACTTGTAGTTTAATAATGTCAAGTGGGTGCTGTTCAAATCTTAATTTTGATACACCTGCATGAAACAAACATTCTATTGGCTTAAATTTGGACTAAGGACTAAGTAACTGAAACAAAAGATTAATGATCATGCACTGCCCTAAGCTGTACCATGGAAAGGCTGCTTCAATGCAGCTCTAAGAGGCAGCTGCTGCTGGGAGGTGAGTGAGTATGTGTAACAATAAAGCATAATAGGAATGAGGCACAGTTCCTTTTTTAGAGTTTTTTTAAAACATATCTATGTATCATGTTGAAAGATGAAAGAAACTTTGCAGGATTGTAGCTGCTGTCATCTTCATTGTCTAAAGAATTGAATTTAAACATCTGGACTCCGCTGTGCTTTGCACTGAACAAATGGAAGAATTTTCAGGCTTAGCAGTTTTGTGCTCAGATGTCAGTGACCCACTTCTGGTTCCTTCAGTCCTTTAAGTTTGCCCCTGAAAACCTCCTGCACTGCTCCCAGGGTGGTGGTTTCTTTTTATTGATGAGCTTTGGGCTGCTCCTGTGAGGGAATATTTCTTCTTCCCAGCTAGCCAGGGGGGCTGCTATGGGGGGGATTGCCTATGTATGCAATGCAGAGAGGCACTATGACTGTTTGGATGATTTAATCTGCTCCTAAACTGCCTAAAATCTGTTAACTTGCTCCCTCCCCAGCATTTCAGCTTTTTCCTAAGCAGTATCGTGCATATTTCATGCATTCCTGCGTGAGTATACTAGCTGTTCCAAATCAAATTCTGCACTGCTTGCAATTAAAAGGAGGATGCCATGATCATGTGAAAATCTGTCTAGATTTTTAGATAGGTGCTAGAAAACCCCTCACCTTCCTACTTCCTTCTCCAAAGCTGAACCTTCCCACTTTGGTCTCTCAGACTTTCCAAACTGATTTGTTTCTGTTTATTTCAATTGAACATCAGCTGTCAACTATTCTCTCATCTGCCTGCTCAAAGTGGATGTAACCATCTTCCTTCCTATATGCATCTGTGAGATGCTGAGGAGCAGCTCAGTGTTAGGTTGTAAATAGTCAAAGGCCACCTGGGAATGTGGGAGATTGCTGTTTTCATGGCTGGCTGGGGACACTTTGCTGCAAAATATCTCTGGTACTTGTGTTCTCCAAGAAGGCAACTATGAAAGATAGGTCCATATCATGAACGACATGAGAGAAGGAGGCATCCTGTATAAATTTATTTTAAAATTTGCAGTTGCCTGAAGTTGCTAGGAAAGCAGATGGATAATGATAGCCCTGGGGACTTGTTTCCCAATTTTTCAATGAGATATGTTTTGACTGAAAGAGTTTAATATAGCATAGAAAATATCATTTAATTACAACTTGTTGTTAGTACCCAGTGAGATGGACCCAAGCTCTTAAATTAGCCAGCTAAAGTAGGTGCCTAAAGCTGATGGTGTGAATATCTAATGGAAAAGACTGTTACAGTCAGGAGATGTATTTCAGGCATGGAAAGGGCAGGGCAATGGCAAAGGTGGTGAGGGAAGAGCATCTACTGTGATGCTCCTCCACAGTGTGAAGGTAGAGAGGTCTGGTCTGCCTGGCAGAGCTCCCTGAGCCCCTTTGCCTCCTGTCACTGGTGAGGGGGACAAAAACCCTGGCTGCCTTCAGGCTGCCCCTTCCTCTGGGCCCTGTCAGCAGCATGAGAAGGATTCTGCATGAGGCAGGTGGCAGTGGGAAGGACTTGCCAGGACCTCCCCCTGGCACAATGGAGAGGGTCTAGCAGCCAGCAGGGCCTTGTAGAAGCCCCACAGAGCCCTCCAGACAGATTAAGCAGGAAGCCCTGGGGCTGCACAGGGGGCCCATAGCAGATTGTCCCAGTCCTCTGCCACCTGCCATGGATGCAAAGGATGGCACAGATGAGTTGGTTTGAACCTTGCACTTCCAAATCCCTCATAAGCCATCTGGATGGTAGTGGCTGGAATGGCCAGTGCTCTAAATTTCCCAATTTCAAGACAGAGATTAGACCACAAAAATTCCCTGCATTGTCAGTGTGGTAATGCAAGTGGTTTCAAATGCTTAAAAGATTTTGTAAGTAGTGACAAGTAAAGCTGACCAAGCCTCATCAATGAAGTTAAGATGTGGGAGAGCACAGATGTCCTCCCTGGCAGGACATTTTCACATCTGTCATTTGTTCAGTCCAGGACTAGTCCAGGACTTGGTGACAGGAGGTTCTCAGGCTGAGAGCTGGAGATAACATAAACAAGGACTGTCACAGGAGCTGCTGTTCTGGACAGGCTGCTTAGGGAACTGAAACTGTCTGGAGAGGTCTGAACAAAACCACAAATGAGACCTAAAAGGATTGAACTCCCTAAAAATCTTGCAACATGATAATTAACTATACTTTGTGGAACATTAATACTTGAAATAGCTGATGTTGCCAGCTAGGAAGCCACAGTCTTGTGGAAGGTGTCCTTGCCCATTGCAAGGGCATTGGAACTAGGTAATATTCAAAGTCCCTTCCAACCCAAAGCATTCTATAATTATATGATATAGTGATGTAATCCTGGGATATTTTAATAGGGTTTATGTGAAAATAGGGAGTTTTCTTTCCACATTCAGTGGGTTAAAGCTGAGCAGGTAGATGTCAGTGTGTTGGACTGAGCTCTGAAACAGCATTTTTCTCTGGAGCAGAATAGCTGTCACGTGTGTTTCTGAAGGTATTAAAGCACAGCTGGGAATGGGACATGGCCTGGCAATGCATAAGCAAGGGAGCTTCCTGACTGTGCATGAAAACCACCAGTTCCTCAGAATGGCAGCTTGCTTGCCACATAAAACACACTTGCTGATGCTCCCAGAAAATATTTCCCCTGGGCTTGTTAATGGGACATCTACACGTGGTGACATGGTCCAATTTCTATTTGTTTACCTGACTGTGGAAACACTAACTAGAAATGTCAGGGTTTTCCCTCCAGGGTTGTCAGTCTCACAGTCCTTCTCCAGGGGTTGCCTTTCTGATTCAGTGGTTAGGTCAATTAATGTTCATATTGCCACTAATTGCATTGCTCCAAGAGTTAGAAGAAAAATCAAACAGGATATAGCAACAATTATCCTAGGAGCTCTGTGTGACCAGGACAATTTGGAGTCTTACAACTGATATCACAACTAGTCTTTCTGTTTGTGAATCCCTGAGACAGAACAATTTTGCTCTGAAGGAAGGTCATTTCAGTGACTGCATCTTGCATGGAGTGGCATGATATTTTCATAAACATCTGACTGGAGAAATCAGATTCATTAGTGGGGAAGTCAGCCATGAGTAACAATAAGGAAGAATTTAAATACCAGAATGGGCAAAATGGGGGGCACAGAAATGCGATCATTTAAAAACTGGGCTGCTTCTAATTAGCTCAGAGTGACCTGGGCCTCATTAGTGCCCATATCCATTAGATAATTGAGCTATTTTCTTGCATCCAGTCACACAATGTGGAAAAAATAAAGGAGTGTTGTGAAGGCCAGATGAGTGCTCAGCATGCGAGATTTTTATTTTTAT